AAGAATCTGCCTTTTTCTTCAAATGCGAATCTCTCGGCGAAAAATCATCGTATCAAGATGCATAAAAAAGCATTTTAAAGAGGAGACTCTGTACTTTCGTACGCTTTTGATCCCAATAAGCTACAATTTTTTGTTTATACCGTGCACCGTCGCAAACTCGAACCATTATTTTTCAATTTTGCATGCTCGCGCTTTGTCATCCGCCATTTTCAATAAATTTATTTTGCAACATTGAAATAAATTGATTCTTAAAGTAGAGATTTTTAGCTTCATTTCCATATTTTATAGAACTTTCTATCTTTATTATTTACGAAGTTATCGTCAGTTGAAATTTGATGAATTTTTCCCACATTTTCAGTGTACCGCTTTTTTTTCGGGTGAGTGTATTTAATTTGTATTCACACTATTGCAGCTTTTCAAAACAGTTTTTGGCGCACCAAATAAACTTTTTACGTTATTATATATTTTTTTTCAGGTGTTGCACGGTGATTTAGCGGCAAGAAATATTCTGCTTGCTGAAAACAACATAGTAAAAATTTGCGATTTTGGTCTCGCAAAAAGTATGTACAAAGATGACAATTATAAGAAAAAAGGAGACGGCCCATTGCCCATCAAATGGATGGCTATTGAATCGATCAGAGATCGTATTTTTTCTACGCAATCTGATGTATGGTCTTTCGGGATTGTACTTTGGGAATTTTTTACCTTAGCTAAAACACCGTATCCCGGCATGGAAGCTGAAAAGCAGTATCAAAAGCTGGTCGAAGGTTACAGAATGGAACAACCGGAGTACGCTATTCGCGAAGTATATTGCATAATGTGTCAATGCTGGAATGCTGAACCCACATTACGTCCAAATTTCACGAATCTTGTTGAAAGCATTGGCAATTTGTTGGAAGAAAATATAAGATCGGTAAGTCATTTCTCGTTTAACTTTGCAACAGAAGCAGAATATATATCAATTGTTCAAAAAAGAATAATATAATGACATTAAAAACAGATAAATTTGTAACATTAAGAGAGAAAATATTAAAAATAGAAATATAATTAATAATTTAATCATATTAAATTTAACAATTTGATTAAAAAAATTAATATAGACACTGTTTGAAATTTCTGTAAATAGTTTGCATTGAAAAAAAATAGCACGGCATAAAGCTGTTTTCTATATCTGTTTCAGTACTACATCAGTCTAAACACACCGTACATGGACATGAACGCAATGATCCTAAAGGATGGCAAAAACGACTATTTGACAATGATGTCTGCGCCGGATCATGCAGCTCTATCGTCACCGGACCACGATTACATGAACACTCCGGAGAGTGCACCAGATTCGTCATACTTATGCATGAGTCCTAGCTGTCAGACGGATGAATCCGGAATCTTCAGCCCTAGACCACATCAGAGTCATTCGCACTTCAACTTTCCATCACTTCCGTCAGACTCCAAAGATGCTGTTGAATTGTCCCCAATGTTGAAGCGCGAGAAAGATCCCTACCTGAAGCCGATCGACGTTCAAGCACAAAGGGCGGAGTTTGCGCAACAGAGACAAACGATGAAAAACCAAATATCTGACACATCGATTGATCGAGATTCTGATTATTGTAATGCGCCGCGGAATCTTCTCTATCTGAATGATGCGAATGTCAACGAACTCGCCGGGCAAGTCAACGCGGACAAGATGGACGTAAGGAAGACAGATTATGCGCCGAACATCATCCACACGCAAAACAATTATATAAATATGCCGAAACAGAAAAGCGACTTAATAAAGGATATGCCGGATGGCTTTAGTAACCCTAGTTACGTGATGATAAATAATTGCGAAATGGAGCAGAGAGCTTAGTCTGTGTTATTATCTGCTTAGTAATCATGAATTCTCGAGACTATCGAGACTAGTTTGTCTTAATTCTTAGAGTGCGAAGCAATGCTTAACTAGCCATATCGCAATAATCAGCGCTAAACTTTTCTCGCGTCAATTTTTGTTGTAGATATACATATATTCGTTGATGGGTCGTATAGCACTCTGAGTGAATAAATAAACTTGTAAGCCATAATGACGGCTTTTGTTGAGCATATATATCAGCCCGTATCAGCACTCTAAGGATTAAAGACAGGATTATGCGATTTAGTGACTATCTATTTGTAATTTTGCATCTCACGATTTTTATTACTATTTTTTATGCTATAATTGGTAATTGTAATTGCACATTGTGCAACACTACAATATATAATTGAATACTTTGCAAAATATTTTTTATTGGTAAACAAAAGAAAATATTCTCTTATTGAATATGCATTACAGTGTGACCATGAAATGTCTACGTAATATTAAAAAAACAATTCTTTTACAAATATAAATTTAAAAAAGCGCTTAATATTAGTTTACTTATTTTCATGTAATGTATAAGTAGATCTTATCAATTTGTATTTAATACTCATATTGTTTACTTTTTGTATTCTAAGCAATATTAATAGAGAATTTTTTTATTATCCCAATCAAAAAATAAATTATCCTTAAAAATCAATCATTGATTTAAAGAATGTTTTGATAAAATGTGTAAGATTAAATGTATGATCTTTTTCTGTCTTTGTATTTTGCAATCAAAAAGCTATTACATAATAATGATTATATATTCCAATGATACATGTTATTTATTTATAATCTATTTACTAGAGCCTTGCGACGGTGTTTTTACATTCTTCTTAGGAATCGAATAGAGGGCACGTTTTAGCAACAGCCCCGTTTTCCAAAAATTACTTGCATTTTTGCAGTCCACTTTGACCGGACTTCGCCTGTGTCTACGCTGCACAATTCTTCGATGCGCGCATTCGTGTATTTTCAATATATGTACGATATATTCTCGGAAATTATTAAACTAATAATTTCACATACATATTTACACATCATAATTAATATTTTCTAGTTTTTATTTCTATATTTTTTTATTTTCTATAATTATTTCTAATTCTCTAAAGAAATTTATACAAAATTAAACTTCTATGTCATATGCGCTTGTATAATTTGTGACATAGCAAAACATTTCATTTTTGATTCTATGTAGAACAATAAGGAATCAAAGGTAGATATCTTTCGATATCAGAAAGCGAATAATAAAAGATAACGTTGTCTGCGATAAATTATATTCAAATTTGCAGGATGGATCCTGTTCGTTTAGTCGCATCTACAAAGAGGCTCACAATCAATAGATAGAAAACGCACAAGCAGTAGAAAATAGGTCGAAGAAGGGCTCCAGACTCGCCCGCATTCGCATTTGGCAATCCTTAAACGATAAATTTGGTGTACAAAAGTTTTGTGCGAGTGTTCGAGAAATAAAAATATTCCAGCATCAAATACGTCGTTGCCTTCTAGTGCTTGTTATTGCTTCCATGTTCTGGAAAAAATTATCAATCTAATGTATCTATTTATCACGCTCCACACGCTGCACGCATGCATGCACACACGCAAGCACGCACTTACTCACACAAGACATACCTACATATATCGTTTTACATCTGTAAGAGATTCTCTACTTTACTGAAGCATCACTTCATGACGAAGTCACTATTCATTCATATTTATTAATACTCATATTTATGAAGTTAAGATTTATTCAATGCGCATAATGCAAAAATGTATTCAGATAGCAAAATATATTTAAAATTTCTCCAAAAATAATTTATAATTGAAAATATTGCTCAATTATTGATCTATGTACGTTTGCAAAATAAAAAGAGACAGTTTTAGATCAATTCAAACTGAAAAATAAATTTTCTTTGTCGCAAAATTCTACATCAACCGATCTTTACATTTTTAGGCTGGAATTATTAAACCAATTGTAGCTCCATAATAAATCAACGTAGGTAATGTAAAATACGAATATTGTTATTGATATTTTGAAATTTTAGATTTTATTTTATTGGTCAATAATTAAGAATTAGTAAGGACTCTGCTGTGAAGATGATGATGATAATGATAAATTGAGAATTAGTGCAATATTTATAAATTTCTCACTAACCAGATTTAAATTTAGATTTGATCAAAAATTGAGAAAACACATTGTTCTTCGTGTAAACTTAAAATTGCTAAAACTTTTTAAATTGGAAAATCTAGTTTATACTATCGTATATCCTAATCGTTTTCTACTATAAGTATTCTGACTGATAATACAGACACATTATCAAAATAAAAAAAAAGAATTTTCTTTTAAGCAGCAATCACATGTGCGCAAAACCAAACTAATTGTACATATATTTTTTTTATGAAAAAAATAACAAAAAAAAAATCAGATAAATGCCATTATTCGCAGAACACTGTAGCTAATGCAACAATGTTTCTTTTGAAACTGTCAACTTTATTTTTGCTTTTTGCGTAACTATTCGAGAATAGTTATGTTGTTTTAACAGAAATACATTTTTCATTATATTCTCAATAAGCAAAAAAATGTATGAAATAATTCTGTAACAAAAAATTTTTTAATCGTAAACTTACATTTACGATTTACGTTCGATCAGGGAGAAGTTCATCATACGTGAAATGTTTAACAATGTTGTTAGCCATTGAAATAATTGTTTCAGAAAGTGCTTTTTCTATCGGCGGTTTTATGGTTGCAAGAACCTCTTGCTTATTACTGCCTATAAAATTCGCAATAATTTCTTGCATCTGGTCTGATTCATTGTTTTCAAATTTAAAATTAAAATTTTTTGGGATGAGATTTATAGTCAATTTTGATACATATATGTGTTTTTTGTCATTTTTCTTTACTATTTTTATTTCTCCGTCTGCATCCGCATCTACATATTCTGCAAAAAGGAACAGTCTTATAATATCGGTAAAATAAAATCGGATTTTGAAAGTATGAATTTGTTTTATACTTTAGTTTTTGTTATTCTGGTGGAAAATTGATCGTTTACGTACCTGCTGAAAGAGAAAGGTATCCCGTGGTAGTAATAGGCACCAGCACACGTATGTCAAAATCGTATGTGGCGTTCACAAATATATCCTTAAATAATATTTGTATATCAAAATATTTTTTGTCGAGATCTATATGAAAATCGTTTATAACAAAATTGCAAAGGTTTAATATTTGCATATCCTTGAGATATAATTTAATATTGTCTGTTTCGGAAATGATTAGTTTGGAGACATGAAATAATCGTAATGGTGTTACATTCATTTCCGGGATCCCTTCGCATATTTTACTTCTCAAGTAATCAATACTGTTCACAACGCATTTATCGATATTCGGATCTTTGCGTCCGCATACGTGTATATACGAAGCTGTAAACATTTGAAATAATCAATTAGAAACAAAAAATTTAAATCATTTTTTTCTAATTTTATTTCTAATTTTATAAAAATTCAAACAAATATGCAATATTTTCATAATGTAAATGATAATATTGATTTATATTTATAATACCGTACTAACAAAGCTATAAAATATCAAATGTTATAAAAATCTTATTACGACATAACTTTTACACACACAATAAAAATATAATATATTTAATATATTATTTTGTGTCAGCGTGTAGTGGATAATCAATAATAGATAACAAAAGATTTTTTAATGCCGTCCTTAAATTTTTTGTTATTGATTTGTTAGAACATATATTTGCGAAGTGAGAAACTATACAATTGCATTTTTTGCATTTACACCAAACTAACAATAAGTTTGGTGCATAATAACGTATTTTATAATTATGCATTAATTTTACATGAATTCTTTGTGAGATGTCTTCTGTAATATGATACACGTTCTATCGTAAAATATGAATAAAAAAATGAGAAATGTTGATCAAAGTCTACATTTCATTAAGTACGCGAAAATCATTACTGGATCTTCTTTTCTTCATACATGAGTTTTACACACATATTCCTTATTTTATTATTATGACACGTATTTATGATACATATGTTAATCATGAACTCCATTTTCTGATTTCATAAACTTTTGGAATATAATTTTCTTAATTAGCTCAAAGCTAAGTGCCCAAAAAATTCGAAAATGATATTGAAAAAAATGGTATTCCAAAGAAAAATAAAATATTTATTTTATTTTATAAATTTAATTTTATAAAATATTATTTTATTTTATTTTACGGAAAGAAGATTTGTAATATTATTTTTATAAGAAAAAAGTTGCAGCTCAATAATCGAAATGTACGTATTTTGCAAATTCATAAATCGGTGCAGAATATTTAATTGTGAAACAATTAATTTTACACTTTAAATATAATTTTTTTTTTTTTTAATCGAGAAAATGGAAAATGGTATTTTTGTAAAGATGTTTTCATTTAATAATCAACATGCACATATTTTAGGAAATTTTCAAAATTTACGTTTTTATATAATACATTGTCACTTCTTTTAATACATCTTTCTTGAGTTGTATCAGTTAAGAAGTTACATAAAAATTAACAGAGTTTAAAAATCGAAACTATATACCGATTTGAGACCTGAGAAATAGCTTTTTATTCTGCCAATTTAATATATGTACTTATTTTTAAGCGTCAATACTAACTCAGAAAAGATATTAAATTTTTCAGTGTGATATATTTATATGAATTAAATTTTTATTAATATGTTTTTTTAAATTACAATCAGATGTGCAAACTTTTGTTATGGTATGTACATTATGATAGTAACGAGTATGTGTCAACTACTCACGTATTGCCGCTGTAACATATGTTATAACAAATGTAAAAACCAAAATTTTAACCAACATTGTCGACACTAAAAAGATGTTTGTAAAACGTATACAAAGGATTGAAAGAAAAGCGATCGATGAATTGATCGATGAAGACTGATTCAAATAATGAACCCAAGCTTATATATATGCACTTGTCTTGTTAATGTATACATAAATTTTTTTTCTCATATCCATTTAATCACTTGATAAAATTTGTTTACGCAATGAATTTTTTTATGATATTTATGAGATTATTTTTTATTTTATGAAATTTTATGCTAACTTATTCGTGTAAATGCGTAATTAAGGCAAACTCAGAAGAATTAAGTGCCAACAAATTATTTTACAAAAAATCAATAAACATTGTATTATATTTAAAAATCTCCAAGCAAAATATTGAATTATTAACTTAAGTGGTTTTTTCCCATTATAATCAATCTTAAGAGGATCGCGAATGCCTGATGAACTCGGACGCGGTAGCGCCATCATCTCGATAGAACTAAACATGACATTGATATTATCGGCGTCCATGTATATGTATTACATACGTTTATTACATAAGAATAAAAATGAGGATAATATGTAACATCTGCTGAATTAGCTATATGTATAGTATTAAATATACATTTCTCAAATAAAATATTTTATCATATTTAATTTATATCTATTAAACCTTGTATAAGTCTCATATGTATATCATACAACCATACAATAGAATTTCAATTGAGAAAAAGAGTGCGATGCATGTGTAGTGGATTACTAAAAAGATTTACAAAAGGAAATATGTATTTCTTAAAAATTGCCAGTTTACATTAGATCGTCTCTGGCATTATTTATTAAAAATCAACTCACAATAGATTGCCTCTGACAGTATTTATTACAAATTGTCAGCCCACAGATAAATTACCTTTGGCAATATTTATTCTAATTTGCCAGCACACGTTAAATCGCCTCTGGCTACATTTATTAAAAATTGTCAGCTCTCACGTTTGATCGCCTCGGATTTTTCTTTTTCTAAATTGCTTATGATAGATCGCTTCTGGCAATATTACAAATTGTCAGCTCACAGATAAATCTCTTCAGACAATATTTATTATAAATTGTCAGCTAACATTAAATCGCCTGTGATTATATTAAAATTTGCCAACTCACGGTAGATTGTCTCTGGCTTTTCTTATTATAGTTGACACTCAGAGAGAGAGACTCATTTGTCAAACGATATACATATTATAAATCTTCAAGTCGTTATTAATTCTGTCACTTTATATGCATTTTTTTATTGTTCATTGTTAATCCAATATGACAACAATTGCTGAATTGAGGTCGACGTTCAATTACGTATGGATGAATAGATCCAAGAATCATGCATTCTGTTGTTGAAAGACTTTAGAACAATTGTTAATCCGAGCACGGCCAATTAATAGAAATTCACATACCACTGTCATTCTACGAGTGCGTTTTCAATTTGTATTCGTAATTTTTACACTGTAGATGGCCAAAATCGATGACCGAAACGTTTGATGATTATATTTTTAAGATTTAATGGAAAATAAATAATTGAGCAATGAAATCCAGCTACGGTTTTATTTGCTTTGCATTGTTTATCAGTTCATAATATTATTAATAGAAAACGTTATATGAACGCAATTCCTTCTTTCTTCTCTTCTGAAGAATTTGATAGTTTTGACTTGTGCCACTTTTCTTGCGGATGTGCGATATGTGCAGTAGTGAATAAAAATTAATTTAAATGTCTAAAAATTAAAATCGATGGAATAGCAGAAGGATCTCAAACCAAAGAAAATTATAGTTCTTAAGGGGATGCTGGAGTTACCGGCCGGACATTATATTTTTTCGAACAAGAATATCTTTTTATTGGTTGCATAGAATTGTAAATCCTTTTGCAGGAGTAAAGTGTACACAAAAACGGAATTCGGGCTGCTCGACTTTATTTGGAAAAAAAGAATTAATAACAAAATTTGTTTCTATTGTCACGTCCCGGCGCGGTGGCGGTAACACGTAGTGTTCGCACCTTTACGCGAGACTCAATCGGTAAGATTCACGAACCAATGAAAAAGTAAAAGATCAGAAAAAGAACGTGAAACACAAATGTTGTGTTTAATATAAAAATCGTAACCAAAATCCCTTTCTAATGGATAGCGAAATTGAATGAGAGATCGTAAGGGAAGCAGTATAGCATTGATATTTTGTTGCTCCTTACGCGAACAACGTGTATGACCAATAATTAGGACCGTATTCTAATGAATAATAAATTTAAATAATAAATCGTAAAGGAAAACAGTATCGCATTGATATTTTGTTGCTCCTTACGCGAACAACGTGTACGACCAATAATTAGGACCGTATTCTAATGAATAATAAATTCAAATAATAAATCTTAAGGAAAGCAGTATCGCATCGATATTTTGTTGCGACTCCGCAAAACAACGTGTATAGTAATAATTAGGACCGTATTTTAATGAATAGTTAATTAAATAGAGGCGAATAATGAATCCGAGTAAGACCACAAGAAAATGAATATGATAATAATGCAGCAACGTAATAAGAAATAGTAGTCAACCATTGTGACTGACGTGTAATTATTTAAGTTTTATTATCATGCATTTGAAATGAAAGAATCGCTTAATACCATTAGAATGCATCAAGTATATGTTGACCGAAAATTTAAGAGAGTAACATTGGGTTTCGCTGATCATAAAAACTTTCTCCGTTTTCAGCGAGATTTTGCATATAATTAAGGTACCTGTCTTCACATTCGTGACACTCGGAAATCGGTTGAATCAACGCGAGGTAGCGATGGCAAATAATGCAATGTAATCTTGGGCGGCGACGCCCGACGGATGCGTAATGCCTATCATTTAAAACTACGAATAAACTTTTATATTCAATCGGTTCGCTAGCGATGCATTCTTTGCAAAGACGCTCTTTTGCCGTAGGATTCACGAAGCTGGTTTCGCGAACGCAACTAGCTAAGGAGTACCTATAAAGATATTCCAATCGAGGCGACCGACAAGCGTAACGTTTCCCCACACACATATCAATTATTTAAAATTCGATTAATCAGACGGTTGATTTAATAAGCTGGTTATAACTAACGTACGTATTCCCGGGACCTCCGCCAAGTAGAACGCTGGTAGGATCGGGAAGATTAACAACACTTCGTCCTTCTCGAGTTAATTGATTTGTTAGCCTTATAAAATGATTGAGACACGCGAGACAGTGACGCACTGGAAAAGGTTGAGATACGTTCTGGCCACAAACACGACACTTTGCTAATGGAACTATAGAACCGATATTCAAATGATGTCCGAGGACGTGTTCGAAATCATTTCGCGTTGGTTCTGATAAATCGTGATAGCAATTGAGGCACAATATCGTGCCAGTATTTCTATTCAAGCACGCGTTATCCAAGATACAGTACACGAAACGACAATTACAATTTGAGTCTGGGCGCGAAGATGTTACTTCGGTATCTGGCATTTTCTCTTGCTCAGATTTTAACTTTAAACCTTCCCATGCAAATAAATTTGGAACGGACTCACCGGTGTCGACTTGTATGGTACCTGAAGCCAGTGATAACTCAATCTAATTGTAAGGCGCCCGATCGGTTCCAGGATCGATCTTCCAATAGCAGGCTGATAATCGTATGGAGATAAATCTTCAGATGCGTCATCGTTGCTGGTTATCTTGCGGTCGAGGAATCACTGCACTAGAGTTATTTCGCGACACGTCTTTACCTTTTATTATTCGTTGGAATTTAAGGATCGCACGCTAAATTGGAATAATGTTTAAGGATTTGAAATTAAAGATAAAATTCTCAAAGCAACCAAATAAATGTAATTATAAATGAAAATAAGAGTACATTGGTTTATAAATGAAATTACACTCAAATGAACTTATAAGATAAGAATTCTTACAAACATATTAGCACTTATGTTCTAGAGATGGAACGCGCAGTTTGCGAATTAAGTAATTGAACATATAAAATTGATAAACCGAACTTAAATTAACCGTACTGAACTAGGACGAAACTAGTACTAGAATTAGACCGAGACTGAGTCAGAATTGAAATTGCGAATGCGAAGACTAACGATTTGACCGAAACTGACTCTCTGACTGAGTATTGACGGCTTACTGAAAAATTGAATACTGACTCGGCGGCATCGCAGGGCCCGTATTTATACTCCTCTGGATCTTCAGAGACAAAGGTTTGTCCTATGCAATAGGACCGCACATGGATGTAATCTCGCTTTAGAATATCGAATGTTCGAGGCATGGTTTATATAAAACTGCAGGCGATACTCGAACCTAAGTTTTGAGAGTGGTATGGTTAACATAAAACCGTAGGTGATATCCGGACCTAAGTTTTGAGAGCGACGACAGATAATTTACAGTCGTACGCTTTGAAACGCAACAAGGGGTTTACGTTACGCGAAAGGTTTCGTGTTGCGCCTTTCTGGCGACATGTGTCGAGCGCTATTGATACAGCGAGCGATAATTCCAAGAGGCGATAAACTAGAAAGTTTAAAACAAAAATTTACGAGTGGAAATCTACTTGCTAAAATATGGGGACGTTACACAGTAGAATCTCGTTTATCCGACCTTCGATTAACCGACGTTCCGCGTAATCCGAGGCACCGAATTCATCCGAGCACTCCGTATTAACCGAGGCGGTTGCTCGAATAATACGGAAAAACTCGGATAATACGTTAATACGAATTTATGTTACGCTGCTTAAATATGTTGAAAAACAATCAGACGCTACTGCAAGTGATCTCTTATTAATAAAAAGATAGAGAGATATTCCACTCTTAAAAAAGGCATGAAAAATCGATACTCGGATGTATCGAAAGTATTGTTGACGCTTTTCCGCGACGCTGATTGGTTATCTTGATTATTCTGGCAGTTTGATAG